ACATTTCCAGCTCTTTTTGGTGTTTTTTAAAATGGTAAAATTTAGTTGCTATTGCCTCAGACCTTTCCCATCGCATACTTTGCAAATCAGACTTAGAAAATATTCAAGGTCCAAGTCACTGGGTACTATTTCCAGATGTGACCTGTGGGTCATCACATTTTTGTCCTTCCCTCTTGTCTGTGTCAATGCCATTGTTAGCATGTTTGACTCAATGTAAGGGCAATCCTAGAGAGAGAAATATAGTACATTTATCTATCCCCAGAAATAGTGATTTTAAGCCCCCCTCTCCAATATAGATGCCACAATTTTCTTAACTCTCTCCAAAGAAAGAACACAGCAATGTCTAATAGTAGTACATTTCAAAGCTTCTGTCAAGAACAGCCAGAAAGTTCTTTGTGAAATCTAATATCATAAATTCATGACTGTCAGGGCAAATGTGTGTTACACATGTTGCCACTTCTCAAACCAAGAGATGCTGTGGAAGTCCAAATTTTTCTTTAGGGTTCACAAAGAGGTAAAGGGGCAGAAAGAAAGATATTTCTCCATGGTCGTGTTACATTAATTTAATCTCAGTTGTGTGTCCTGAAGCTGAGTGTCTTACTTCATGGTGAGCACTTGTGCAAAAGTTCTGGGCAAGAGGAAAGGGTGGGGGTGATAGGAGGAGGGGCAGGAAAGCATTTTTTTCCTCCAATCTTTGTGGTGAGCAGCCAAAGAAACCAAGTTGAGTTGGACAGATTGCCATGTGGTTACTTTGCAAGAAAATGAAAAGGGGAGCAGAGATGTGCTAAAGTGTTTTCCATCCTGTTGAAAGAAGAAATGACAGAGAGCTGTGAGGATCCAGTCACTGCTTTTAGCAGATGGCAAAACCAACACAGGGAAGAACACACCTTCCTTCTGGAGGCCATTTGAGTACAATGGCCAGGGACAAACTAGTCATCACTACCTGAGGGCCAAGTAAGCTGCCTTCTCCAAAAAAGAACCAGAAACAGAGGCCACGGCCTAGTGCATGAACCATCGTGCCTCCGCATCCCCGTTTTCTCAGATGAAAGTCCAATAACCAAAGCAGCAGGGCCCTGGCTGTCACAGAGTCTAGATTCTGTTCTGTATTATATTTTATTTAGTTTAGCTTCCCCCCCCCCCCCTTTAGAACTGAGGCATGTGACAGAGATGTAGTAAGCCTGCAGGCTCCATCTCAGCTCAGATTGGCACTTGGAGCAGCCCTTCATGTTTTTGCCTGAGTTTCAAGGGAGAAGAAGGGGCAGCCAATTATTTGAGAACCACCCCACCCAGAGATTAATTCAAGATTGCTTGTGGAGGTGAAGTCATGGCCAGAATGACCACTAGTTATCTTCCAAATTACTGAGCAAGCTCTATTTTTCTGAAAGTCGGTCAAAGGTTTCGACATCCATGCTTATGTAACACGAAAATATATAACTGTGTCTCTGTGTGTCCATGTAGAGAAAGGGAGAGAAAGCTGAGATAGAAGAGGAGGAAGAGGCAAGGAAGGTAAAAGGAGAGGGAGGAAAAAGATTGCCCCTGAGAAAGAGAGAACAAGGGGTTCCAAAGGATGGGGGAAAAAGAAAGGTAGGAAGTGAGTAGACAGACAAATAGAGAAAGAAACACAGGGTCATCTAGTCACTTTGCAAAGTAGTGATTTTCCTATCACTTTAGACTTGCAAAAGCAGAGCAACCTCTATATTAGTTTCCTATTGGTGCTGTAACAAATTATCACTAATTCAGTGACTTCAAACAATGCTAATTTATTATCTTAAACTTATGGAGGCCAGATATTTAAAATGAGTCCAAAATAAATGTGTTACCAGCCTCACATCAAGAAGGGCTGCGTTCTTTGGAGAGCCCGCTTTCTTGCCTTCCATCATCCAGATGCCTACGTTTTTTGGTTCACTTCCATTTCCAAAGCCAGCAATGATTGGTCAGTAAAGTCTTTCCTCACATCGCATGATTGGCATTTACTCTTCTACATCTAAACAACCCCTGTGTTTATATTGGGCCCATCTGCATCATCCAGAATAATCTATTTTAAAGCCACCTAACTAGCAACCTTCATTCCCTCTTACCATGCAAGGTAAGACACAGGTTCTGGAAATGAGGGTGTGGACATCTTTGGTGGGCCATGATTCTGCCTACCACACCCTCTTATTAAGAATGTTGTAAAGTGGCAGGATTTGAGGCAGTGCTTTTAAAACTAAAGTCTTAAGAAATGGAAAATAAAAAAAGAGCTATTTCTTTGGAAAACTTTTGAGGTGAGTAAGATCTGTTCCCTAGGTAATGTTTGAGCTGCTGCCAGTGTCTGCCTTCCCTTTTTGGCACCTCCATATCTGACTGGGCTCATACAGCTATGGGCTCACCAGAGTATCCTGAGCAAATGTACCCTTGGGTCTGCCTGGCCTGGGCATGCTGTCTCTTTTCCTTTCCTGCTAATTAAATTTATCTATTCTAACTCTCATATCTTATATGAAATTAAATGTAAGAGTGCAAAGAATTTTGCATTCATTTGACTCTAATACTTTAACCTCCTGGAGTGACAGCAGAAGATAGGTTTTTGAATGGGTGCTGGAGAAACATTATCTATTGGAGTTGCTTTTATCTAATGGTACCACATAAACTTAGCCTGCATAAAGCCAGACTGGTTTAAAAGGGCCATTTGGACACAAATGATATCTTGGTATGTCTACATTAAAAAAACTATTTGGTTATCTTATGAGAGTATTAAATTATAAATCATTTAACCATGGTATTGCTATAAAAATACAATTTTATCCTTATGTCTTTCTATACCTCAATATGAACAATGATAAGAGACTGTGATGTTTTATTTTTCCCAATTGCTGTTTGGAATGGAAATATATACTTTTATCTGAATCTTATTATCCTCATCCGCCTTTTCAAACAATGCTGTACCAATACTAGTACCACAACATCTAGAGGGAAGAGAAAAGAGCTTGAAATTCTGGGCTCTTAAGGATCACTGATACTATAATCAAGATTAACAGCTGTCTTTTCAGGCCTATTGTGTCTCAGGAATCTCATCAATTATAAGGGCTCATTACAGTGGATAATCCCTTATAAATAGAAACAAATGCAAGAATAACAACATAGTACTGAAGGATGAGTTTGAAAATGAATAGCCCAGGTTCAGGGTATGAAGGCTGAGGAATGTGCCTTTTTTTCTACTTGTCTTCTTTGTCAATTGAGAATCAATGGTGAGTAGTCAGGGGAGAGGCAGAAGATCTGGATGGTCCACCCAGCCCTGAGCTGGCATCCTTTCTCAGTACCTGCAGGCCCATTATTTGGAGGACCAACTCTATGGATGAAGGCAGCATTGAGCCATGTGGGAAAGTGACAAGCAAAATGGTATCTATAAAGTTTATAAAGTAGACAACATGCCAGTGTCACAGGATAAGAGTCAGTGGTGAAATGTCAAATCCAGTGAGATGGGACTGGATATGAATATGCCTGAATGTTGAAAGCAGGAATCGTGAAGTCTTCATGTAAAAGTCCCTGCTGTGGGGTTATCTACGTTTAGTAGTTGAATGGCCTAGAATGAAATAGCCTATGTGAGACCCCTTTCATTTTTTAAAAATCATGATTGAGCTTATAACTCTTAGGAAATGGATCAAAGACAAAAAGACACCAACTACCTGGGAAAGTCACTCAATGTTGGTTAGTGTTCATTTCTCTTTAGGATAGCATTCAGCATATCAAACTGCATGTTGGAAAATATCATGCCTGATTAACCAGAAAATTATTGCAGCAAAAATTTCAGAAAAAAAATTAAGTAAAGGAACCCTAGTTTCTTGTGAACACACCCTCACTTCCATATTGATTAACCCACTAAGCTTCAAAGTATTTTCTAGGCGAGCCTCAGACACAAACCTGTCAGAAGGCAGGCCTTGACACAGACTGAACTTGAGCATATGGTACTTAGCAGTGTGTTCAGCTTAGGGAGAGTGTAAGATAATAGGGCCTGATAATTAAAATAGCACGTTTGTGCCGAAACCGGTTTGGCTCAGCGGTAGAGCGTCGGTCTGCGGACTGAAGGGTCCCAGGTTCGATTCCGGTCAAGGGCATGTACCTTGATTGTGGGCACATCCCCGGTGGGGGGTGTGCAAGAGGCAGCTGGTTGATGTTTCTCTCTCATCGACGTTTCTGGCTCTCTATCCCTCTCTCTTCCTCTCTGTAAAAAATCAATAAAAATATATTAAAAGAAAAAAAAATAACACGTTTGTTTATAGACATAACCTAATCTAGGGCATACTGCTAACATTTTTAGCAAGCACATGGTTATTTCAGGGCTAATTATCTATCTGAACTTAAAATATATTATGAATTATTTCTCTCACTAAATATGTAAATGTTTTTTGTTGGATGATAAACTAGTTCAAAGTTCTCCTAGATCATTTTGAGTTGTGTAGATAGAAATCTGGTCAGCTACTACATACATGATTACACTGGAGACTGTCTCCAAGTTTGACTCTGCTATGTATAAAGACTACAGTTTTTATTGATTTCAAGGTTTTAGAGGCACTCTGTGACCCACTCTGAATGATCAATATCCTCATACATATGGCTACCCAGATATTTAGGGTCATTGCTCAGTATCCAATTAATTTGCATCTCAAGATATCTGCTTGGATTAGTAGAAGAAATGGTGGGTTTGTCTTTTAAGATATGTGGTTTTGCCAGTCCTCTTCATCCAGCCTTTTACCATTTTCATTGCTAATTGTGTATTATTTATGGAGGAATTTTATTTAGATGTCTGGCCTGAAGTGAATGTCTCCAAATATGTATCTGTGAATTAGCCATTGGGGGAAAAGTGCTGCAGAAGGCATTAATTACCCTTGTATAATAAAATTCCATTTGGTGGAATAACAGCAGGAGTTCTTCAGAATAAGATGTGTACAGAGAACAAAAGCAGGGAAGACAATAACTGTTTTAAGAATTAGTAGGCATTCTTCTAAAAAGTCCCATGAGGCTTGTGAGAAGACTTTTTTTTTTTTATTCAGAACCTTGATTCTAGATACACACTGGGCTTACAACATGGATAAATGGCTTCAATTATCCCAATAAAAAAAGGACACAAAAAGAAAACTAGCTCAAGATCCTAGTTTGAAGGATGAACATCTATAATCTAACTTACCACTTGATAGGTAATGGCATGACTTTCAAATATGTGTGACTAATAACCATGAATTAAGATTATACCAGGATTTAGATAGTAGGTGTCATCTGATTCCTTGGTCTATACCTGGGTGTGGGTGATTGGCAATCTGAGTGACAGTTTAATCTGGAATGCACATACAATTCAGTTACTATCTTCTGGGCAGAAGATATTTTATATATTTTGAATTCAATGACAACTATTTAAATGTTTAAGTACAAATATTTAATATCAAGGCAGGATACATTTTTCTACAGTAGATACTCAAATTATAAGAAAAAATGTTTTCATTCTTCTATTTTTCATTGTTTATACATTATTTAATACCTAGTCATCTGATATTCATTTAAACACATGTTGCATTTACACTTGACTCAAAATAAGGCATCAATTAAAGAACTGCTTTTCTACCCTTTTTGCGGATAGATACCTACACCTCAAAATGCATTGGTGGAAATTGATTTTCTGCTATGTATCATGAAATTAATTAGAGAAATACAGCATAAGTCAAACATTTACTCCCCTGTGGGAAGTGAAGTTGGGCTTTATAATGGCCATCAGCAAAATCCATGGTTTAAATTACAGATTAACAAAGAGCTCATGAGCTCAAAATTAAGTTATTCTGTTTAAAATCAATCACTGAAACTGTCATTCTGCTTATTGCTTTGACTTCCTAACAAAGGTTTAAATGAGGACTTTATGTGCAAGTAGAGGATGTCAAGAGACCTGCTCTTTTTCAGACCTGCATGAGCTGGGGAGGCAAAACATTTAGGCTATTCATCTAATTAGGAGGAGGAAAGTATTTTTCAAAAAAAAAAAAATCTTTACCAAAAAATCCCACAAATTCAAGTTCACAATTAATCTATTATCTGGGGGGGAAATGGTAATGAATGAAAGGTGGGGTACACTTAAGAAGCACTAGATTCATTGATACCAGAGCCGAATGCAGAAATCTGGAATTTATTCTAGTTTTTAGTGCCAAGGGACGTAGGGTTCAGAAGCAGTACTGCCTTTGCCAGTAAAGTGCAGTCAGACTATGTTTTTAAGACAGAGCATTTTTCCTTTGTCACTGGGCTTCATGTTGGTTCACTACTCCAGTCCTGAGCAGCTCAGCGATGGTCCTGTCATCATATCTGAGGGCCTCTTTCAGGATGTGCGTCGTGTGCTGCCCAAGCAGGGGAGGTGGCCTGGCCTCTGACATCTTGAACTTACTGTATCTCACAGCTGGGCCTGTCAAAAGAGGTGGAAAGCAGGAAGCCTGTTAATGACTAACCCTAGGAAACGTATTACCCAAGCAGCCCGGGGTGTTTCCAACGAATGCCAAGAATATCATTGCTCGTTACACCCTTGCAGATGCACCATCGTTTTGGAAGGAAATGTATTTTTACATGTGGCTTTGCTTGACTCCATTTCATCCAACTGCACAGTCGTCATCAGATCTGCCTACCACTGTGCAGGGGACTGCACGCCCATGGTACGTGCTAAGCCTGATCAGAAGCTGTCAGTCCTGTCACAGGAAATCTCAGGGGTAGGGCACTCAACTGACTGGACTCTTCTGGGTCCAAGAGAATAACAACCAAGATATATAGTGTCTTTCTGAAACTGACAATCTGACCCCATGCGAGGATAGTCCAAAATTTTATTATTCACTGCCAACTGTATAGTTCCAAGATTTAGTACAACAAACAGCAACTATATAGCAGCCAGACCCTGGTTGAATCGTTTGGATGGTAGAAGTTATATATGCACGCTCCTTTGTTAGGGAGACTTCAGTCTGAATGTTACCTCTTTTTTAAAATTTGTCTTTATTGTTGAAGGTATTGCAGATGTCTCCCCACCACATTCCTGCACTGACCCACCATCCCGTTTCCACTCCCCTACAGGTATTCCTACATTATTTCTGTCCAAGGGCTATGCGTATATGCATATAAATCCTTTGATTAATGTCTTTCCACCCTCCAATCCCCTTCCCTCTGAAATGTATCAGACCATTGCATACTTCAATGTCTCTGGATAATTTTTTGTCAGTTGATTTTATTCCATATAAAATTGAGAGCAGTGAAACTTGTCTTTCTCTGATGGCTTATTTTGCTCAGCATTATAACAGCCAGGTTCCTCCATGCTGTCTCAAAAGGTAAGAGATCCTTCCTAGATCCTTCTTTTTTATAGCTGCACAGTATTCCATTGTGTAAATGTAGCACAGATTTTTTATCTATTCATCTACTGATGGGCACTTGAGCTGCTTCCAGATCTTAGCTATCCTATATAATAAAAGCCTTGTGGCATTACACCCTCGTGTGTAATCACAAATGGCTACCCTCACATCATCACAAGATGGCCACCATAGGATGGCCAGCAGGAGAGGGCAGTTGTGGGCAATAAGGCTGGCAGGAGAGGGCATTTGGAGGCTAACAGACCAGCAGGGGAGGGCAGATAGGGGCAATCAGGGCTGCAGGGAAGGGCAATTGGGGGAGATCGGCCAGCACGGGAGTGGTTAGGGGGCCATCAGGCTGGCAGGCAGGCAAGCAATTAGGAGCCAGTGGTCCTGGATTGTGAATAGGATTATCTGACTGCAGGTTTAGGCCACAGGGATCGAGCCTAAACTGGCAGTCAGACATCCCCAAGGGGTCCTAGATTGGAGAGAGTGCAGGACAGGCTAAGAAACCCCTTCCTCTCCTCCCCCCCTGCACGAATTTCATGCACCAGGCCTCTAGTTGTAAATAACACTGCTATGGACATAGAGGTGCACATGTAATTTCTGATTGGTGTTTCAGGATTCTTATGATATGTTCCTAGAAGTGGGATCACTGAGTCAAATGGTAGTTCCATTTTTAATTTTTTGAGGAAACACCACACTGTTTTCCATTGTGGTTATACAAATCTGCATTCTCACCAGCAGTGTACTAGGGTGTTGTGGGTTTTTCCCCCTCCACATCCTTGCCAGTACTTGCTGTTTATTGATTTATTAATGATAGCCATTCTGGCAGGTGTGAGGTGGCACCCCATTGTTTTATTTTGCATTTCTCTTATAACTAATGACATTGAGCATTTTTTCATATGATTTCTAGCAGAACCATCTTTTTTTCTTTGTTTTTACATATATTTTTCTTTATTAAAAATTATTTATTGTTAGAAGTATTACATGTCTCCTTTCCCCCCCACTGATCTCTCCTCAGCTTCCTCCACCCCCCAGGACATGCTCTCTTCTCCCTCTCCCCAGTGTCCATTGATTATGCTCATATACATGCATACAAGTCCTTGGTTGACCTCTCACCCCCTTACCCCCTGCCTTCCTTCATAGGTTGGACAGTCTGTCAGTGCTGCTATGACTCTAGTTTTATTTTTGCTTATCGGTTTATGTTGTTCATTATATTTCCATTAATGAGTGAGATCATGTGATATTTATCTTTCTCTGACTGGCTTATTTGCTTAGCATAATGCTCTCCAGTTCCATACATGCTGTTGCAAATGGTAAGAATTCCTTCTTTTTTACAGCAGCATAGTATTCTATTGTATAGATGTATCACAGTTTTCTAATCCACTCATCTGCTGTTGGGCACTTAGGCTGTTTGAAATCTTAGCTATTGTAAATTGTGCTGCTATGAATATAGGGGTATATATATCCTTTCTGATTGGTGTTTCTGTTTTCTTGGGATATATTCCTAGTAGTGGGATTACTGGGTCAAATGAAAGTTCCATTTTTAATTTTTTGAGGAAATTCCACACTGTTTTCCACAGTGGCTGTACCAGTCTGCATTCCCACCAGCAATTTAAGAGGGATCCTTTTTCTTTGCATCCTCTCAGGGACTTGTCCTCTGTTGATTTGTTGATGATAGCCATTCTAGCAGAGCCATCTTGAAAAATCAACTTCTTTGAGCCTCAAGTTCCATAGCTCTAAATTGGGCATGGTGTTTACCACATAAATTTGACATAAGAATTTCAGTGAGATAATGGGCAGAAAGCACTAAGCAAATATTCCATAGGCCATAGTAATGTACAAAATCCATTGGCTATTCTGATGGCAAAAGCTGCCACAGCATCATTCTTGAAGCTTGCAGTGCAAGAGGAAAATACACATCGCCAGCTCTTCGCTGAACACTAAGCCACTGCAAACAGGGTTGCTCAAGCAATACTTTCACCCAACAGTTGGGAATATATTATCCCATTCTTTATCAATGGCCACTAAAGCCCCAAAAGCTAAGGTTTTACTTAAGGTCATATGGCTAATAATTATTAATAGTTCCAGGATGCAAAGCCATGTGCATTTGAATTGTCTCCCATTGAACACCCTAGCAGTCTTAGCCTTAGCAGTCTCTTTTTACTCTCCACTCTGACTTTGAAAAGATGAACTGACACTGGAGAACAGATTTTACTTTTCTTGCTTAATTAAGTGAAGTGATATGGATGTTGCTTTCCTTTGTATCGTTTTATTAGCCTTCAGGAAAACAAACTAGTCACAAGAAGACTCCAAAAGAGAAATACATTTTTTTCACCCTCCTTTTGATTTGGAAGCCCATTTTTAAAAAGATTAATCCAATGTATGTTTGGGTAACAGAATGTCAGTCAGGAAAGCAGCAAACATGCCTTGAGCTCTTTGTAGAACCCCATTAATAAAAAGTATTGTGGTAGAAACCATTGTAATAAAGGACAGAGACCATCAAGCCACACCTCTGTGTAACACATACCATCCACTACAGATAAATGGCAACCTTTAATTAATATCCAAAGTTGTCCTTCTCTGAAACTCAGTGAAATCCATTTTTTTCTTCTCATATTTCCTTTTAAATTTCCTTGTGCATGACTGTTTTTCATAGGTTTATTCCATTTCATTAAAGAAGTATGCATTGGCAGGCACAGTCTTCTGCTCTCCTGATAAAACTGATAATCTGATGTTTTAGGGATGTGATCCTTACTCATTTTTTTCTTTCAGATTTGGTTCTATTTTGACATTAATTATCAACAGTTTTAATCTAAAACTTGTCTTTCAAAAGAAGAACCCCACTGAGGTAGTACATGTCTGAAGTCAATGTGATGTGACTTTTTCTTAAATGAATTACCTGAAATGAGACTTCCAACTGAGATGAGACTTCCAACTGAGATGAGACTTGCAAATGAATTACGTGAAATGAGACTTCCCTGATGCTGAGTCTTTAGTTGTTTAGGCAGCCTTTTCTCTACTATCTAATCTCTATACTAAATCTATTGCATCAAAAATGTTTAGTGTCCACAGGAAGCAAATTAAATGAATGAAAAATTAATCTCTATAACTCATAATTTTAGAGATAAATGCATTTCTTTAAAAGAGATTTCATTCCATATTCTTGGCCTTAAATAAGAAAACTGCTATTGCCTAAAGGGTAGACTTAGGATAGTTTTACATAGAAAAGAACCATGGCCTATATGTTCGACAGAAGAGGCAGAGAAAAAAACTCGGTTTCTCTTTGAGTCACAGTCATTTAGGAGTAAACAAAGGTTAGGTGATTTTCCTTTGCCTTAACAAAAGTTATCAGCGAGGCCAGTGTTGCTCAGTGGTTGAGTACCAACCCAGGAACCAAGAGGCCGCTGGTTCCATTCCAGGTCAGGGCACATGCCTAAGTGGTGGGCTTGGTCCCCAATGGGGGGCTTGCAGGAGGCAGCCAATTGATGTGTCTCTCTCTTTCTCTTCAATGTTTTGATTTATCTATCCTTTTCCCTCTCTGTCAAAAAATCAATAAAAAGATATTTTTTAAAAACAATCAAACTGAAAAACATTGAAATAAAGGCAATTTCCAGTACATCAGCTAAAACCACAAGTGCTGTCCTTGTGAGGGGTTATCTAATTTAATGATTGGTGGTCAAAACCCTGGGGTCTCCTTATACTCCTCACACACACACACACAAAAAAGGAAATAATGGGATCCAGGATGGCAATGGAGTAAGTAGAAGTTATACTCATATCCTTCCAAAACAAAACCAAAATTACATTCAAAACATTGAAATGCCAACTGAAGACTATCTGAACAGAAGCCTTATAAGCAAGAATTTACAGAAGATGCCATATGGAGACTAGTAGAAAGGGTAGAGATGCAGGAAGGGTTGGCCATGTACCCACATGGACTCAGAAACACCCTGAGGAGTATGAGGTCTTAACACCCCAGCCCAGAACACCAGATCTAGAAAGAGGGGACTACATAACATAAGGCTTTAAAAATCAATGGGGATTATGTCTTTCTAGATAAATTAGGGAGTCT